GAGAAAGTTTTCGAATTCCTCCTGTCTCTTGCTGACTCGGAACTTTCACATTTCTCGTTAAGGGTTTATTTGGCCGCACTTTCAGCCTACCATGTTCAAGTTGAGGGATGCACACTGTTCTCGCATTCACTTTCTAAACGTTTTTTGGAGGTACTGTTGCACCTTTACCCTCCCATCAAAACTCCTGTCATCCCCTGGGACCTTTCCCTGGTCCTTCGCCAACTCACCAAGCAACTTGCGACATAAAATACCTGTCCTGGAAAACAGCCTTTCTGGTCGCTGTCACTTCAGCAAAGCGAGTTCGAGAAATACTGGCTTTCAGACATGACACTTCTTACTTGTCTTTTCTGCCAGATGGCGTCTGCCTCGTACCTGACATCTCGTTCCTGCCAAAGGTAGTGTCAGAATTTCACCTACAGGCAGAGGTCTTCCTCCCGGATTTCTTCCCGGCTCCAACATCCCCAGAGGAGAGGCTGTTACACACGTTGGATACGAAGCGTGCGCTTCTGTTCTACTTAAACAGAACCCGTCCAACGAGACGTGACTGTCAACTGTTCGTCCCCTATGCGCCAGCAAGGCTAGGGACTTGCATCACGGCTCAGCATTTGTCAAGGTGGATTGTAGGTCTCATCCGCCTCTGCTACCTTATCGCTAAGCAGCCATTGCCTGGCCCTATCAGGGCTCATTCAACCAGAGCTGTTGCAGCCTCAACTGCCTTCCTCCAGGGAGTTCCCCTAATGGACATTTGCAGAGCCACTACCTGGGCTACGCCTAACACGTTCATAAGGCCCTACGCCCTAGACGTCCGTAAGAACTCTCGTACCAACATGGGACGTCACATCTTATCCTCGGCTTCGCAGTAAGGACCTGCCAGCACCCTCCTCCAGGTAGGCCACTGCTCACTAATCTCCCATGGGTGTGAAGCACAGAGACCACGTCAAAGATAAACAGGTTGCCCTAACACTATGATGTCACTGCTGGTTTTGCCCAGACGTGATGTCATGCATTGGCTTATCCTGCTGCTGAATTTCTCCTGGCTCGGTGCTGGCTGCAGCTGGCAACCTTTGCTGAAGGCAATTTCTTTTACACAATTTGAAAACAAGATTGAGCCAATACAAGTTTTTCAGGAATAAAGGATTCTGTACACCTGGAGTATCTGTTTTTTCCAGATACTTTTCCAGTTAAGGAGAGGGGCCACAAATTAAGCATAGGCAATAATCAGGTCACAAACCCAGACAGAGCAGGTGCTTTTTGAAAGGACCTGCTTCTAGTGGAGAGATACACCTAGAGGAGCGGTAGAGTGCTACACCTCTCTTTGCATGTTCAAACTGAGAGGAGCAGCAGTGTGATGAGGTGAGATCACTTGGTGGAGAGAGCAGGCAGGTTCCAGGGACCTCGCTTCCTGCAAAACCTCTCCTTTGCTTTTTCTCTTCCCCCCCTGCATATCCTGGCGTAGCCACCTGCCTCTGTTGCCAGGTAGTCTTCCAATGTTCCATGCTCACTTGAAGTATGGATCCCCCTATCGATGAAGTTATAACTCAGCTCTTCTTGTTTCTGTCATGTATTCTTGTGACTTCTTGTGACACTTGTAGTTCAGTGTAGCCCATGTTAGTTAAAGAGGGGTCCTGGGTTTGGAAAAATGGTCAGGGCCCCTGCCACACGGGGCGGAAAGGCACGGGCTGAAGCGCGGCTTCTGAAAGCCGCACCAAAAGAAACACACCGTGGCGGGATCACATTGATCCCCTGAGCCACGGCGCATTCCCTCCCCGGCACGATCAGATACCGGGGGAAGCGATGGAGGGAAACGGGAGACTGCCGAACTGCGCATGTCTGAGCATGCGCAGTTCAGGCAGGAGCCGGGGATGCATCGGCAGAAAGGCGGGCCGGCGAGCCCACGGCCGGCGTTGATGCGGCCGTCGTGGATGAAACACCTTGGTAGGTGGTTCATTTTTGATGCGTTTTTACGGGGGAAGGGCCGGATCGGGGACAGGTGCGCAACACTGCCCAGATGTTGCAGTGGGATCGCGCCCGTTTGCTCTGGCCCCTATCCGGCCCACTCCCGGCCCAAAACCCCTCGTGTGGACAGGGCCCTAGAACACATGCATTGCATGCAGAAAGTCCTCAGTTTCCGAACAATGGCATCTCCATAAATGTTTTAAATGGATGAAAGGATCTGTGTTAGAAGGGCTGGAAACAATGGATGTATGAGAGTGTGAGGTAGGTGGGGCTGAGAGAGTTCTGAGAGAACTGTGCCTGACCCAGGGTCACCCAGCTGGCTGCATGTGGAGGAGTGGGGAATCAAACCCAGATCTCCAGATTAGTCTGTCGCTCTTAACCACTACACCAAGCAGGCTCTCATTAGCATTTAGCAATAGATGGGAAAGAACCTGTTGAGTAGCAAAATGAAGAGTGAAAAATGAGAAGATGGAAATGAGTGAGCAGTAAACCTGTGGAAATGGAAATGTTCCTACTCCTTTTGTTTTGTTTTATTGTACTTACTCATACAGGCAGAAATTAAGCGTCTTCAGGAAGCTAATAAGGCTGCCCGGAAAGAGAGACAACTGATCCTCAAGCAGCAGGAAGAGATAGAGCGAATACGCCAGACTACTATGAAACTGCAAGAAAAACTGAAATCTGCAGGGGAAAATAAACTGGGAAGCTGCACGGCAACAGCAGATCCTGCCTCCAGGAAGTACCCTGTTAGTATTTGTTGTGTCACTGCAGTTCTCAAATTTTTAAAAAAGAACATTTCCTGAAACAGAAAGAAGAGCTCAATTTTTTAAAATAAATGAACTACTTTATCATTTTTAGAAAGATTAGCTCTTCATGACAGAGACTTGTAAATAGATAACAACTCTTTTTTGTTATTGGGACTACAGAGAGTCTTCATAAGCCTAGGTTTGTAACTTACATAATGAAGGTATTAATTTCATAGGAATAATTGGTGTATGGAAAATTGCAGTTTTTATTTATTTATTATATTTATTTATTTATTATATTTTTATCCCGCCCTCCCCGCGAACGGGCTCATGGCAGCTAACAAACAAGGGCACCATGTGCCAAGTATAAAACATTAAAACGCATAAAAACAACCATTTTATCAAAATTAAAGTGCTCAATGATGTTAATATTAATCATTTAGTCAAATAAGTCAAGTCAAGATGGTGATCAGTAGATGTTACTCAAGCCTGAATCGGCAGTACTGCTCCATCAGAAAACTGTAACTCGATCTTATAGTTGGCCATCGATCTTAAATGGGCCACCCCAATGCCCCATGTTCCCGTGAGGCAGTTGGTGGTGGTGGTGGCTCCTAATTAAAAGCCTGGCGGAAGAGCTCCATCTTGCAGGCTCTGCGGAACTGTGAAAGGTCCCACAGGGCCCTGATCTCCGTAACACTTATTAAACAGTTCCGTGTATTTTCCAGTTAACAAGATTTTTGTCCTCTACTTGTATGAAACTATAGTTTTTCATAACATCATTTATAACTTCCTATTCTATATTTATACAGTTTCATTCTTCCAAGTGAGTAATTGTGAATGCTATGAACCAGCTTCTCATTGTTGATATTGTTTGACTTTTTTCATAGGAGCATCGCAGTGAGGATGATGCAAAACAAACTCATTCTTCCAGCCCGCTGCCAACAGATGTGGAGACCTGTAGCCCTTCTTCTGTCTCCAGCAGTGAGACCAGTAGCATCATGCAGAAATTAAAGAAAATGCGCAGCCGTATGGATGAGAAGTAATTATTTTTATTGTTTGAGATTCTTTTCTTTAGCATTTGCAGAAGTTGCAGTGACATTTCAATACAGTTGGCCTCTGTGGTGGCCTCAGAGGTATAAATGGTAAAGCTGCCTTTCCTGCTAAGACCTCTCTGTTAATGTTAAATGAAAAGCTTATTTTTATAATGATATTTCAGTACATCTCTGACAGAGGTAGTCTTTTATACTTGATTTTGTTGTCCCCAAATAAAATGAGATCTGTAGCCTTGAAGAGAATGATTGATTCATATCATGTTTGGAATTGATTCACAATTCTTGAGTTGAGCACTGCAGACAATCCATTATTTTGAGTAATATTTTTTCCTGCCCTGTATAATAGATATCTTTACATTGATCATAATGGAGAGTAGGCAGTAATTGTAGCTAGGGATGGGCACGAATCAACTGATGAACTAACATTCATCGCAGTTTGTGGTTTGTGAAGTAATGTGAAGTAATGTTCATGAACTGAAGAACCACCACAAACTTTCACAAATTTTGATGTAGTTTGTGGTGGTTCATGAAGAGCAGGAAATGGGTTTAAACCCCTGCTTTCTGCTCTTCACAAAAAACAGCTGAGTGGCGGGAGCTGGCTGCCTAAGAAAGCCCCTTTAAGCAGCTGATCCACACAGAGCATCTATTTAAAGTGGCTTTCTTAGGCATCCAGCACAGAGCAGTTTGCTCCATGCCTCTGCTGTTCAATGTGATTTTCTTGGATTCAGCTCTTTCTGTTCATTGCTTTCTGCTCTCCACAGCTTTCTGCGGGGAGCAGAAAGTGGGGGCCACAAACCCATACGAACAGCTTCAGTTTCTGAACCAACCTCCTGGTTCATATAGGTTCGAGGTTCGGTTTGTGGTTCAGCCACAAACCTTTTGAGTTTTAAAAGAAATTATATTGTTACTGATTCAAATTATTGCACATTTACAGATGTTTAATGTATGAGTTGAAATCTTTATCAAAATATTGCCATCTATTCAACTGCATGTTCCCTCTGTTGGAACTGCACTTTTCTCTGCAGTAAGGGGCATCAATTTCTGGAGAGTCCCCCCTTCCCCTACTTTGTACCCTGTGCAGTTCTGAAGGTCAGTTGACTCCTTCAGAAACAATATATTATTGTTTCAACTTGATATTATAATAATATAATATTTTGGGGTGCTGAGTGGATTGTAGCAGGACAGTCATACTCTATGAAGTCTGGACGGTTGCATACAAACCGTTGTCATGAATAGCACAGAAACTCATTGTATTCCTGTGGATGATCAGGTTAGAACAGGGGTCCCCAACCGTTTTAAGCTGGCAGGCACCCTTGGAATTCTGAGGCAGGGTGGCGAGTTCAAGCACAAAATGGCTGCCACAAAAGGCAAAGCCAACCACAAAATGTCAGGGAATAAGGTCATGCATAATACTAACAGTAGATATTCAGAGTTTCAGGCAGAAGCTCTGTTTAGCAGGATGCCTTTTAAAATGAACATATTGTTTAAAAATAATATGTCCTGCATATACATAGCTTACCTTCAGTCAAGCAGTGCAGGTCTTTGTTTTATGATGGCAGCTGCTGCCAAAACAAAAGCCTCACCTGGCCCCACCTACATTGTCGCAACAGTTGCCAAGCCCGAGAGGTGTTGGTGGGTGCCGCATTGGGTGGGGACCCCTGATTTTGACTCTAGATTCATGTCTAGGCAGGTCTCGTTCTCTGGCCAAGCCATCCTAGTGACTGCTTGAAGTAGCCTAATGAGGGTGAGGCATGGACTTTGCTTGTTCCTGGCAATGCATTTTCCTAGACCCTGTGTAATTGGGTCACCTTGGACCCTGCTGGTGGCAGTCCAGGAGAGAGCAATTGGTGTACTTTGAAGTGACAAAATACCTTGTGCCTCCTCTGTCTAGGTTTTGCAATAGTGCGAATAAAGCCGTGTTAGCCAGATATTTAGTAAAGTGCCAAAAAGATAAAGACATATTGGAGAATAACTGTCACATACAACCCTTACAAGGAGATTCAATATAATGTTTTTAGGTTTGCCGTAAATAATGTTTTACCTGTCAAAGAAGAGTTTGTTGGTTTCCTGACCTAAGGATGCAGTAAGATTGATTTCTGCATAAAGTAAAAGAAAGTCAAAAAGAAAAATGTGCTGTAGTGTGCATGTGAACAGGAGCATGCTCTGTCAAAGAATTAACCCCTTGTGATTCTGGCATATTTAGTCTCCTAATATGGAATCTCCTAAGAATAGAAATGGTCTTCTGTATTGCTTTATTTTAGTGAATGCTGCCTATGAGTAGCATGGGCCATTAGTTTATTTCTAATAGTTTGCTAATACAGACTCTATGGCTCTTGCAGAGCAGTACCTGAAAACAAAACATTACAGAGTGCCAACGAAAAGAGTAAAAATGGCTAATGTGCTAAATGGTTGTTCAGAAATTCTGGGTATCATGTGCCAGTGAACAGTTCATGCTGTGGTTCTGAGTCATTTCTGCAGCTTTTACCCAGATGATGCAAAGCTAATACTAAAGGGGTTTGCCATGTTAGACTGTTGAAGCAAACCCAGAATGGCAATCTGGTGGCATCTTGAAGACTAACAGATTGGTTATGGCATAACTTTTCATGGACAAGAGACCAGAAGAGTGTGTCCTCCACTGGCAGAGAGGTGGGTATAGGAAAAACAATTATAAAGTCAAAAGGCAATGAAATGCAAGAGGTATGGTCTGTGACGTCTCATTGCAAAGTTCACAGAGACATAAGAAAAGCCCAATGGCCATTCAGTAATCAGCAATCATACAATCTTGCTAGGCTTGCCAAGACTATAATTGTGATTGACCTCTAAATGGGCAGCATCGAGCATCCTGATAAACCATCTAATTCAACAGATTCTTGTGCACATCTGTTCTTTTCATTGAGGTCAACAATGGGCTGCCTTGGGAGCTGTGGTTCCCCCCCCCCTCCAGGAACAGTTTAATTTGTTTCAATTATGACAGTTGACTAGAGTTCTTATTTATACGAATGAGTCTAGAACATAGTTTGGAACTGTTGTTTAAAGGGCTAGAACAGCAAAAGTTTTAAAATTCAAAGCTGAAATGAGTAGATGGAATTGTATATGAATGCGTACCTCTTAGAACAAGAAAAACCCGTCACCAAGTGTAGCACAAGTTCAGCAGAATAGGAAGCGGCAGTGAATGGAAGTTCATTGTTAATGTGCAGTTATGTTTTGCTGCCTTTGGAGACCTGTATCTGTGGTCAGATGATATTTTGCAACCCATTTAACATTCTGTGCTAGATGCTCTCCCACTCTCGCTTTTCTCCCTGTTCCTTACTATCTTGGCTTGAAACTCTTCCTCCTTATTTTGTAGACACTGCTCTCCTGTTCACTACTTCTTCTCTGTCTTTACGTCTCACCACTGGGCCTCTCTCAGTGTCTGTTTTCCCAACCTCCATCCCAAATTCCAGCTGTATATCTACAACCAATTGGTCAGGTAACTTTGCACCTTTTTCAGTGGTAGACTCTTTGATCGAGCATGCTCTGTTCAGTTTTATGAGATTAGGAGGCTCTTCATCAGGGTGTGTTTTTATTACTTTCCCCCCCTCAATAATCTTTTCCTCCACTTTACACATTTAAATCAGGTTATTGCCACCTATGAAGTTGACAGCGTCTGCCCTCTCTTAGCCAAGCTCAGTCATCCATCTGTGCTGAGAAGCTGAGCTTTAGGCTTCGACTCTGAAATTTAATTGCATCTTTCTACATGCACCTATGATGAGATCACCTGTCTGAATGTTTGTTTTTATTTGGACAAGTAAAATGTCATTGATTTGCAAAATGTTTTCAGCTGCTTCCCTTAACCTTTTCAAAGTGATTTGAAAATGAAGCTTGTAGGCCCACTAAAATGAACAGACTTTAACCCAGCTAAACAAAACCATCCCAAATATGCCACATAAGAGTTCAGATGTACAATTCAGCTAAGCAGTTTTGTTTCTTTTTTCCATTCATTGCATTTTCTGAATTTTGGGAAGTTTTGCATGTCCTGGCATGATTTTAAGGCATGATTTCAAGGCATTTTAGGGAACAAAGATTTTGTTCCACATTTCCAAGGTACTTAGTAAGATGAACTTGAGACTTTACCTAGCACAAGATACTGATTTCATTGTCAATTTGGGATGCAGTGAAATCAGATTGACTATATAATTTGCAGTCAAAGATGGAGAAGCTCTATCCAGTCAGTAAAAACAAGACCTGGAGCTGACTGTGGTTCAGATCATGAGCTACTCATTGCAAAATTCAGACTTAAACTGAATTTTAAGTGGCTGTCTGATGAGGCTTTACAAATAGCAGAGGAAAGAAGGAAAGCGAAGGGCAAAGGCGAAAAGGAAAGATTTACCCAACTGAATGCAGATTTCCAGAGAACAGAAAGGAGAGATAAGGAGGCCTTCCTGAATGAACAGTGCAAAGTAATAGAAGAAAACAATAGAATGGGAAGGACTAGAGATCTCTTCAAGAAAATTGGAGAAATCAAGGGAGCGTTCCATGCAAAGCTGGCCATGATAAAGGACAAAAACGGTAGGGACCTAACAGAAGCAGAAGAGATTAGGAAAAGATGGCAAGAATACACAGAAGAACTATACAAGAAAGACCTCAATGTCCTTGACAAACACGACGGTATAATCACTGACCTTGAGCCAGACATCCTGGAATGTGAAGTTAAATGGGCCTTAGAAAGCATTACTAACAACAAAGCTAGTGGAGGTGATGGTATTCCAGCTGAACTATTCAAAGTCTTAGAAGATGATGCTGTTAAAGTGCTGCACTCCATTTGCCAGCAAATTTGGAAAACGCAACAGTGGCCACAGGATTGGAAAAGATCAGTATACATTCCAATCCCAAAGAAGGGCAACGCCAAGGAATGTTCAAACTATCGCACAATTGCACTCATATCACACGCTAGCAAGGTCATGCTCAAGATCCTACAAGCTAGGCTTCAACAGTACGTGGATAGAGAACTACCAGAAGTACAAGCTGGGTTTCGAAGAGGTAGAGGAACTAGAGATCAAATTGCCAACATTCGCTGGATTATGGAGAAAGCAAGAGAGTACCAGAAAAACATCTACTTCTGCTTCATTGACTATGCTAAAGCCTTTGACTGTGTGGATCACAACAAACTATGGCAGGTCCTTAAAGAGATGGGAGTACCAGACCACCTCACATGTCTCTTGAGAAACCTGTATAAGGGCCAAGAAGCGACAGTTAGAACCGGATACGGAACAACTGATTGGTTCAGCATAGGAAAAGGAGTACGACAAGGATGTATACTGTCACCTTGCTTATTTAATATATATGCAGAGTACATCATGCGAAATGCTGGCCTGGATGAATCACAAGCGGGAATTAAGATTGCTGGGGAAAAGATCAACAACCTCAGATATGCAGATGATACCACTCTAATGGCTGAAAGTGAAAAGGATCTAAAGAGCCTCTTGCTCAGAGTAAAAGAGGAGAGCGCAAAAGTGGGCTTGAAGCTCAACATCAAAAAAACTAAGATCATGGCATCCGGCCCCATCACTCCTTGGCAAATAGAAGGGGAAGTCGTGGAAGTAGTGACAGACTTCACGTTCCTGGGATCCCAGATCACCGCAGACTGTGACTGCAGCCATGAAATTAAAAGACGCCTGCTCCTTGGGAGGAAAGCGATGGCGAACCTAAACAGCATGATAAAAAGTAGAGACATCACCCTGCCAACAAAAGTCCGCATGGTCAAAGCAATGGTATTCCCAGTAGTCATGTATGGCTGCGAGAGTTGGACTATAAGGAAGGCCGAGTGCCGAAGAATAGATTCTTTTGAACTATGGTGCTGGAGGAGACTCTTGAGAGTCCCTTGGACTGCAAGAAGATCAAATCAGTCAATCCTAAAAGAAATCAACCCTGACTGTTCCCTGGAAGGCCAGATAATGAAACTGAAGCTCAAATACTTTGGCCACCAAATGAGAAGGGAGCACTCACTGGAGAAGACCCTGATGCGGGGAAAGATTGAAGGTCAAAGAAAACAGGGATGGCAAAGGATGAAATGGTTAGACAGTGTCATAGATGCAACGAACATGAAATTGAGCAAACTTCAGAGGACGGCGGAACACAGGAAGGCCTGGCGTGATCTGGTCCATGGGGTCGCGAAGAGTCGGACTTGACTGTGCGACTGAACAACAACACCACAACTGGGGGGAAAACACCTTGTGTTGAAAGACACCAAAAATGGGGGGGAATTGTTCTTTGATCCCACTACTAGCATGTAGGGTGCAACTAGATGAGATGCTTGAAAAAAGACACCACAAAAGAGGAATCGACACAGTGGATCTGAGATATAGGGCTAATCTGTGCCACCCTACCTCTATGCTGTTTTCCTCAAGGCTGCTGTTAGTTCTGGTAGGACACAAGAGACGTGTTACAGCGATTTAGGATCCCCGTGGTCTTCTCTTTTTCAGGCTTCCTCAAGGGGAAGTGACAAACAGCCGATTAAAGAGGGCAAAATTCTCTCTCCCCCTCTTCTTTTGACAGAGTGCTTTGGTTGTGTTGCTTAGAAGTTTCAGGAGTCACTGCTAAATGAAACAGTTTTCTATAAGGAGAGCCAGAGTGCAGGGGTTAGAGTTTTGGGCTAGGATCTGGGAGACTCCGTTTTGAATCCTCGCTCTGCCACCGGGCGACCTGGGGCCAGTCACACACTCTCCACCCAACCCGCCTCACAGAGTGGTTGAGACGAGGATAAAAAGAGAACAATGTAAACCACTTTCGGTCCCCACTGGGGAGAAAAGTGGGATACAAAATTAGTAAATAAATAAATATTGATTTCATTGATTTTGTACTTGGTTTCAAGGCTCACAATCAAAGAGTTCCATAAATATCTGTTTCTACGCTAGATTGATAAACTTTTTGAAATCATTACCTTGTGTCCTGTTTGTCATCGCTCATCCTACTATGAGTCCCACCTCAGGTGTCAGATTTCAAAGGACAGTAAATTATCAGCTATTTACTTTACTGTTATATTTTGCCACCATGAGGAAATGCTGCCTAATTTTTTTTTCTGCCTCCAAAACCAAAATGCCCTGAGCTGTTTCTGCCTTTTTGGAATTCCAGCTTCCTAAATCTGCCATGAGGGTTGAACCGTTTTGAGTTCTTTACTGTGCAAAAGCCCCTTTCTTATGGTGGCAACATATTTGGGAAGAGCTGATGTATTTGGTTACTTTGACCTCTCATTATGTAGGGGAAGCCGAAAGAAAGTTTGGGTTGATGGAGATGGGTATATGTCATTTATCAGCTGCTATCCCAGAGGGTTACACAGTGATATCCTAACAGTATGGTGCGCTTAGGAAAAAAGCTTGATGTACTTTTCTAAATTATACTGTTGGTAAGTAAGCTCTTTTGATCATGTAGCTGTTTGGAATCATGGAAGCAAATGGTACCCTTTTGTTGGTAATGGAGTCACTATGGTAGGTGTAGGCCTCTCTTATTTCAACTGCCGACAACTTTGGGTCTCGACGCTCTGTGTTTTCTACTCTTGGGATCTGGTGAGAGATCAGACTAGGAAGGAAGAAGGGCTTTTTAAATCATCATTGATTTATCTTTGTATATAATAACTTTAGAGCTTCCCTCTTCTTTCACAGAAAGGAAAATGCGGGATTGCATGAAATCGGGTGCATTAACCTCGGTCACAGCTTCCCTAGTTACCTTTTCATGTCCCTTGCTTGTGTCCAATGAGTATTCACTGAAATAATTTAAAACACTCTTCATTGCATTTGTCCTACGTAGAATACAGGTAGGCTATCTTTCTGTTGCAGCTCTCAGTGTTGGTGTCTCATTTCTCATTGTTCTGTTTTGCCAGGTTCTTAACAAAGCGAGAGCAAAAACTGATGCAGCGGCGCCAGCATGCTGAAGAGCTGCTGCAGTGGAAACGCCGCCTGGATGCAGAAGAAGCAGAGATACGTCAGATAGAGAAACAAGCCTTGGCTGCTTGGGACAAAGAACTGCTCGAAACAAAAGCCAGGAAGATGGTGGCAGGAAACCAGAACCATCAGAAAGGTAGAAGGAGTGAAAGGGTGTCCGAGAGAGGGAGACGAAGGTCCTGATCAGCGCTCTAGTTTGCCAGTGGGGTGCCAGCTATGTGGGAAAGGCCCACGTAATAGACCTTACCCATGTGGCTCAGTTTTGTTCTTGTTCACACCACACAGAAACGGCTCCCACAACGCTGGGGGATTATTACAAGGATTTTTCCTGTGGTCCTGAGCACACCTGCTTGGGAATAAGAGAAGAAGAAGAAGAAGAGATTGGATTTATACCCCGCCCTTCACTACCCAAAGGTGTCTCAGAGCGGCTTACAAACTCCTTTTCCCTTCCCCTCCCCACAACAGACACCCTGTGAGGTGGGTGGGGCTGAGAGAACTCTGACACAAACTGCTCTTTTTCAAGGACAGCTGCGCCAGAGCTTGTGACTAACCCAAGGTCACATCAGCAGGTGCAAGTGGAGGAGTGGGGAATCAAACCCGGTTCTCCCAGATTAGAGTCTGCACACTTAACCACTACACCAAACTGGCTCTCCAATAAGTCCTGTTGGTATCAGCAGCACTTGTCTCCAAGGAAATGCCTCTAGGAATACTAAAATATGTGAAAGCTTCCTCTTCTGTCCTACTCCTGATCTTGCTACTTCATATAATGTGTTAATTTGAAAAGTTCAGTGAAATATGGTTTTCCATTCAGCATTACACGTGATGGGTGAAAGCAAAATATTAAAACTCTATGATTGTGGCTTAAATGTTCCAAACATTGAAACTGCAACAGCCCTGCTTTTACTTAGCTTTGAATTAAGAAATGGGTAACCTTTTACTGTTCACCCTTCCCTCCTTATTTTGGTTTGCATCACCAGAAGAAGAAGAAAAAACATGCATAAGTATCGGAGGGGGAGGGTCATCACTGTATGGTTATGCGCTTGTGCTATGAAGAGTCAATGCATTTTCACACTTTTATGGGGGGTTAGTTTTAGGAAAGGTAAAAGACATAGAGGCGTTGTAGATGCACATGAAGGGGGCGGGTGTTCTTGCTTGCTTGAGCTCACTATGCCATTTCATCTCAGAAACAGCCAGTGAAGAAGATTCTTCAGTGCCGCCTTGTTCTCGCTTCAACAGTGGAAGCTCTGTGCCAGAAGAACTGGGCAGTCTAGCTGTTGAGTCTGGCCCATCAAAGGTCTCCGAGGTCCAAGGGCAGCTGGGAAGCCCAGACCACACTACACTTATGGAAGAAATGGTTTATACGCAGGAATTTGAATCTTCTGCCTCACCTGGAAAACTCGTGAGTCAATGTGTTCACCACACTACTAAAGACCATGTGGAAACAGGGTTTTCTGGACACTGTTCTAGAAATATGGGGTTTAGGAATTCTGCTGTGATTGTGTATTTTTTACATCAATAGAATGTACATGTGCGTATCCCAGTAGGCAGTTACGGGCACGAGAGGGAAAGGTGGAGCTATTACAGGGAGCAGGAGGCTTTGGGTGCGTGAAGGTGATAAAGGAGTGACAGTCACAGGCAGGGATGTGTCTGGATGCAAAAGGGGCCAAGGCCATGGAGAGTTTTAAAGGTAAGGATGGAGAATGTGTGTTGGAACCAGAAGGGAACAAGAAGTCAATGCAAGGATCTAAATATGGCCATTGCCTTAGCACAGCAACATGAGACGTGAATGATTTGGGTGGCAAAGGGCTGAATAGGTGTTACGATGAAAGTTTGGAGAGGATAAAGTTGAGAGATGACCAGCATGTGAAGCAGACTTTCTCTGATGGGGCAGAGAGGGAGGATTGTGTGTTGTTTCCAGTGTTGTAAAGAGAGAAGTGGCATGGCCCGGGGACAAGGGTGAGACAAGGATCGGGCCCAGGTTAACGCCAGGTGGACCTTAGAAATGGATGTGGAGAGTTTTCAAGGAGAGGAGGACTTGGGAGGAAATGTGAGGCCTTCACTCTTGGACATACTGAGCTTGAGGCAGCAATGAGACATCCAAGCAGCAATACAGGACAGCAGCTGGAGATCTGGGATGGCTGTGGGGAGAAAGCTGAAGGATGGAAAGGCAGAGCTGGGTTTCATCACTGTAGAACTGATCCTGAATGCTATGCAGTTTGATGAGATCACCCAGGGATGGACAGTGTGGAAAGAGGAGAGGAGAGAGCCAAGATAGGGAGAGCAAGTGTCGATCTGTATCGAGGTTGTAAAAAGACCCCAGATGATGAGGACAGATTAAGTGCGACATTAAGGAGATTGCCAGTAACTTTGGTAAGGGCAGTTTCAGTGGGGAGAGAGAAGAGATGGAGCCTGGAGGGAGAGAAAGTTCAGACAATGGGAATGAGTGGCATGCCGTGCTCCTTCTAAGCTGTGCAGTCTTGTGAGCAAAAATTCTACTTTGTGAGCTACTGGCACTAAAGTTGTGAGTGAGCGATTTGGCTGCTGCATAAATTCATTTGCTCTGGAGCCATCCTTCCTGAGCTGAGACAAAAATGTGTGAGCCGAAGGCTGAAAAACTGTGAGCTAGCTCACACTAACTCAGCTTAGAGGGAACACTGCTGTAGGAATTTGGAGACCAAAAGCCCAAAAGAAGATTGGGTTATAGCAGGGAGAAGGAGATCTATTGGGGTTTTTTTTGTTTAGAATAGGGAAATGAGTGCCAAATTGGAATGCAGTAAGGAAGAAGCCAGAGGAGAGACTGAAAGTGAGAGGAGGAATTTAGAAGAGTGGTAGATGTCCTAAGACAAGGGGCAATTTCGCACTAGAGCTGCCTCGTGGTGCAGCCGCTGTTTGCCCCAACACTATTTGTCAATTTCGTGATCCTCACGAAACTGCGGAGGAAATTGGGCGAAGCCGCGAGTCAAAATGCAGCCCCGCAGCTTCGGGTGTGAAATTGACATATTTGTGTCGGGGCAAACAGCGGCTGCGCCGCGAGGCAGCTCTAGTGTGAAATTGCCCAAAGTCGTTGTCCGGTGGCTGCTTGCTGTTCCCCACTGTTGTGACTTTCGATGGTTGGAGAAGCGGCTGGCCACTGGTGTTTACTGTCAACCTTGGAAATGGGTTTTCACTGTTCTATTGTGGTTTTAATAAGCACAGGGTTTGTTTGTTTTTTAAATGAAACTCACAGATCCTTGTCTTGAAAATGTGTGTGTAGGATGTTTTTCACAAACAAATATTTATAGAGTGTAAAAGATTCCTGTGCAATAAAAGGGGACAAGGCTTTGGCAGAAGTGTCTTCAAGGTAGGAAGAGTGTAACTGCCAATGAGATATTTGATTACATCTTAGAGGCAAAGTGGCTGTGTCTCTCTCTCTTTCTCCTTTGTGACACTCTCTAGCTGTCACTTTCCTCGATCCTCTGATCTTTCTTTGTTCCCCTGATTCTCCTCGTCTTCCATCCTAGTTTTGTTCTTCTGTCTCTTCCCCTTCTCTGTGCCTTTATCTGTCTTTCTCCCTCTTTCTTACTTTCTATCCCGCCTTACCTCCTCAGCTCAAGGTGGCGAACAGTGTAGCAACCAAGTCGCAGAGACATAAATCCTAATCCAGTTACCAAAATTACAGAGTTCACTGGTAAAAGCATTCAGGCTTAAAACTCCCAAGTGTTAGAACACACAGGATCAGCCAACCCATAGACAAATCTGCGGTTTCAGCTTGCTTCCTGACTTTCTACATTTTTTCCTCAAACACGTAACCAAATAGTCTTGCTGAAGCCAATTTCAGCTGTTCTAAGTGATTCTATTCTAATAAGATGCAGGTGAAACTCCTGTAAAAATGCAGAGTTGACTACTTTGCTCTATGCAGAGATTTATGATCACAGAATGCTTTCCGTGCCTCTAATTACAATGTTGAAAGTAATGATCTTCAAGTGGTCATCTGTGCATTCATACCCATGGGATTCAGTGCGCACACGCTGGATCGATCGGCATTGTAGCAAGCTCTTTTAACTGATTTTCACGCCCAGACCTTGGGCATGCGCAGGAAGGGTGCGCATGCCCAGAGGGAAGGGTGTGGACATCCTGCCAGTTCCTTTCTTACCGCCGCGTTGGAAAGACCTCTTTCTCGTCGGTCTGATCGGTTCACTTTTTTGGCTTTTGCCTCACAGCTCTTCGGCTTGTTCCTCACTTTATCCTTTTTTCTTCAGTGTTTCTTTGTTTGTTCTTTAAACAACTTAAAAAAAACACTTTATTTTACTGGGGAAAATTGCCAGTTTACCTCAGTGTGGCCTTCGGGATTCCCCCCCTCCTCACCCCTTCTTTCTTCTTCACTGTTTATTTTTATGGAGAAGAAGTGGGGCTTTTTTTAACTGGTGCAAGGGTTGCGGCAGTAAACTTGCTCCACCTGACTGTCACACCCTGTGTATTTTTTGTCTGGGAGAGTCTCATCGACCTGAGTCCTGTCGCCACTGCGCTCACTTTTCCAACCAGACACCAAGAAATAGAGCTGCGCGCCTTAAAGTGGCGCTCCTTGAGTCGGCATTGCATCCTCCCACAATGATGGACTCCGAGAGGCCTTCGACATCGACGGCTCCAGCATCGAGGCCCTCTTCTGATTCCGCTCTACCGAAGTCGAAACCACCGGCATCAAAGGCGCAATCCTTCGCTTCCACGCCAGTGAAAAAGAAGGCCAAACCAAGTAAGGAGCACAAGTCCGCAAAGAAGGGCTCCTCTAAGTCCCTTAAGGTGGCAAAGAAGGGGAAGGTAGCGGTGTCTGCACTGAGTGATGCCCCTAAAGTCCCTCCCGCTCCAACGGCAGTATCGATACCGGAGGCCCAAGCCCCTCCACCGATACCGACCATTCAATTATTGGACTCCCCTATACACCAATTGGAGCGTCCTTACTCCGACATCGAGACGCTAGAGTTCCTAAGTCATCAGATGGATGCCGAGCCTTCTCCCTCTCCCTCCCCGTCGTCGACATCGACGGTATCGGAGGCTCCCGAAATCGATTCCCGTCGGGATCGACATACTTCTAACAGCATGTAGCGTCACCCTCCACGTCTGCATGTTCAATCTGTCGATATCGATGACCGGGATTACAGAGACTATTCTCAAAGACAGGCTGCCGCCTTGTCTCCGAGACGTCCACAGTCCAGAAGTCGATCCCCCCTAGTCTTTCTACCCCCACCACCACCTCTGTCTTGGGATCAACGACAGCTTAGGTATCTTTATGGGGGTTATCCATCATCCATGCCATGGCTGACTCCGGCAGGATATTCCGAGTGGGATCGTTATTCGTCCCACTCTGCCCACAGATCACGGTCGCCCTAGAGGTCAAGACCTTCGGCATCTTTGTCACGTCCTCCTGCTGACGACCCTTCCCACCACGATCCGGAACCTAGTCGTCCGTCAAATCCCCAAGTCGTACCACCTAAACCATTAACCAGTCAAACTGAGGTCACTCTGGTCCAAATACCACACCAAGATTCCTCTGTGGAAGAGGATTCAGATACCGAGGCCTCCGAGGTTCATACTTCTCCTGACCATAAGTCTCCTGATCAGGCTGTTGCTGATGATCTACCCATATCCCCATCTGACGATTTCACGTCATATACAGATCTCGTCAAAAGAATGGCCCATTCATATGCAGATTGGAAAGATTTTAAGGACTATTTAGAGAAATACTGGGATGTGAAAGACAGTTTGGTTTGCTTTGAAAATTATTGAAATCATAGAAATAGAATAGAAGGAGACGATTAAAAATAGAATTGGAATATAAGTTACCTATAGTTATGTAATAATGGTTTATAAGTATGTGAAAATATAATAAATGAACTGGTGGTTGGAAAGCTGTGGGAAGCCAACAAAGGGGAGATAGAGAGAAAAGGATATAAGAGAAATGTGATATATGTGAACTGTGTATTATCCTAATAAAAATTTGTTTAAAAAAAGAAAAGAATGGCCCATTCTCTAGGCCTCTCAGTCGTACAACGACACCCTCAAGTGTCTGATGCAGTTTTTGATATCGTACAGCTCAATACCTCTGCCACTTTGGCGTTACTGATGTCTACGGTCCTTCTACAAGCTGCTAAGGCACCATGGGAGAAGCCTTCGTCAGCCCCAGTGTCAACTAGATGTCCAGGAAACTGGAGCTGAATTTTTATTCTCCCACCCTCAACCAAATTCTATGGTTGTAACCTCCTCCTCCAAATCTAAAAGAACTCATTCTGCACCTTCTGACAGGGAAAGTAAGAAATTGGATGCCTTTGGCAGACGCTTCTACTCTACAGGATCTTTGGGAGTGAAAACCACAAATTACTTGGCCTGCATGAGCAGATATCAATACACTCTGTGGGAAAGGTTTTCTGAAATCCTAACTCACCTTCCTGAAGATAAACTACAGGCAGCCAGAGTTATTCAAAAGGAAGGCATGGTGTTGGCACCTGGCGTCATATCACCTCAGATGAATGGGTACTATCCATCTTGACCCGAGGCTACCGTATCCAATTCCACACACCCTTCCCCACCTCTCCTGGAAGAGGTTTCTGTCCTTCTGCACAAGGGAGCCATCGAGCCGGTACCACCTCATTTGCAGAGGAAAGGATTCTATTCCCGCTATTTTACAGTTCCAAAGCGGGATGGAGGCGTTCGACCCATATTAGATCTAAGGGCACTGAACTGTTTTGTGACCTACCACTGTTTCCGCAAGGTGTCCCTGCAACAGATTATGCCGCTCCTCCGAAAACATGTCTGGATGGCCACCCTCAACCTCCAAGACGCGTACTTCCACCTCACCATCCACCCCTCCCACCGCCAATACCTACGCTTCACAATTGGTCAACAGCATTACCAATATGCGGCCCTGCCATTCGGCCTGTCAAGCGCCCTGAAGGTCTTTACAAAGACTATTATTGTCATTGCAGCCTTTCTCCATCTCAAGGGTATTTCCATCTACCCCTATATCGACGATTGGCTCCTGGTAGCGCCTTCAAAGAACGCCCTGGTCTCAAACATCACCGAGATGTTGGCACTATTAGAAAATTTAGGCCTCCAGGTCAATCACGAAAAGTCTCATTTGCATCCAGTCCAAAGAATACAGTACATCGGTGCTATACTGGATTCCAAGACATGCATGGCTTACCTGCCACAAGACAGAGTGGCAGACATCATTTCCCTAACCAATGTCGTCCTTACCCAGCCTTCGGTCACGGCTTTCCAAATTCAGAGGCTTCTCGGCCTCATGGCCACAACTATGTCGGCCCTCGTCTTTGCCAGACTAAAGATGCGTTGTCTACAACTGTGGTTTATCCACAAGTATGTCCCAACCAAAAAACACACATACCGTCCTCCTAACCCCTCCTCCCAACATACGAGACTCGTTACTTTGGTGGACTGTCCCTTCCAATCTCTTCCTGGGAGCACCTTTCCATCCCCCATCACCCCATCACCCTGACCACGGATGCTTCCCTGTCGGGCTGGGGTGCTCACATGATGGGCATGTGTGTGGGAGGCAGGTGGAACACCCACGAACAAGGTCGACACATAAACTTCCTTCTTACCACTGATCAAGGGGAAATGTGTTACGGTCCTCACGGACAACACCACTGCACTCGCTTATGTCAACAAGCAAGGAGGCATGGTCTCCCTACGTCTCTGCAACCTTGCCATCCGGTTATGGGACTTTTGCATCACCCACGACATCTTCTTGATAGCCACGCACATTCCAGGACACATGAATGTGCAGGCAGACCATCTAAGTTGAGCAGGGCTCAGTCTCCACGAGTGGGAAATGAACCCAACCTACCTCCTCCCACTCTTCCGCAGGTGGGGAGCTCCCCAAATCAATGTCCTTCCCACCAGAGCCAACAAAAAATGTCCTCTGTTTTGCAGTTGAGGAGGCAGGGACTTACATTCTCTAGGAGAGTGTCTTCTTTATCCTTGGTCCAAGAACCTCCTTTACCTGTTCCCTCCCTTACCCATGCTTCTGAGAGTGGGCCACAAAATCATCAAGGACAACGCGAACTGCATATTGATAACCCCATGGTGGCCGAGGCAACCATGGTTCTCGACCGTCCTCGAATTCCCTCCGGCACAGGACCTGCTCTTCCTGTCCGACTCCCCTCTCCTACATCACGACATACCACGCTTGAAATTGACAGCGTGGAAAATAACGTCGATTTTTCCACCCGTGTAGTGAACGTTCTACTGAACGCCAGAAAACCTACTACGCGAAGGTCCTACCATTATAAATGGCAAAGGTTCTGTTCTTCCCTTGGTGATGATGCCCCTCGAGCCATCTCCGCAGCTCTCGAGAAAGTTTTCCAATTCCTTCTATCCCTCGCTGACTCGGGACTTTCTCACTCATCGTTACGTGTTTATTTGGCCACCCTTTCGGCCTACTATGTTCAAGATGATAAATGCACACTGTTTTCCCATCCGCTTTCAAAACGTTTTTTAAAAGGTTTATTGCATCTCTACCCTCCTGTCAAAACTCCTGTCGTTCCCTGGGACCTTCCTCTAGTTCTTCGCCAGCTCACGAGGAAACCCTTTGAGCCACTTGCAACTTGCTATATGAAATGTCTGTCGTGGAAGATGGCCTTTCTGGTTGCTGTCACCTCTGCGAGGCGGTTTGGAGAAAGACTGGCTTTCAGGCATGACACGCCATACTTGTCCTTTTTGCCAGACGGCGTCCGCCTCGTCCCTGATATCTCGTTCCTGCCAAAGGTAGTGTCAGAATTCCACCTACAGGCAGAGGTCTTCCTCCCGGATTTCTTCCCGGCTCCGACATCCTCAGAGGACAGACTGTTACACACCTTAGATGTGAAGCGTGCGCTCCTATTCTATCTGAACAGAACCCGTCCGACGAGATGTGACTCACAACTATTCATCTTGTACGCACCATCAAGGCTGGGGACTCGCATCACGGCTCAGCGCCTCTCAAGGTGGATTGCGGGTCTCATCTGCCTCTGTTACCTGATTGCCAAACAGCCATTGCCCGGCCCTATCAGGGCTCATTCAACTCGAGCTGTTGCAGTTTCCACTGCCTTCCTCCAGGGAGTGCCCCTGACAGACATTTGCAAAGCCGCTACGTGGCCCACGCCTAACACCTTTATCAGGCACTACGCCCTAGACGTCCGCAAAAACTCTAATACCAACATGGGACGTCGCATTCTATCTTCGGCTACGCAGTAAAGGACCTGCCAGCACCCTCCTCTGGGTAGGCCACTGCTCGCTAATCTCCCATGGGTGTGAAGCACAGAGACCACGTCGAAGATAAACAGGTTGCTTACCTGTAACTGGTGATCTTTGAGTGGTCATCTGTGCATTCACACCACCCGCCCTCCTTCCCCGCTGCTGTCAGCTTCTACATTTTCCATAGGGGTTGATTTGCAACGGTTTGAAGTAACTGGCGGGATGTCCGCGCCCTCCCCTCTGGGCATGTGCGGTGGGGTTCCTGCGCATGCCCGAGGTCTGGGCGTGAAAATCCGTTAAAAGAGCTTGCTACAATGCCGAACAATCCAGCACGTGCGCACTAGATCCCATGGGTGTGAATGCACAGATGACCACTCGAAGATCACCACTTACAGGTAAGCAACCTGTTTTTATGATGCATACTTTTTAAAAAAATGACAGACTTTACAAGCAAATTACTTTTTCTTCCCCCTTCGGACAGTCTCCTTCTAAAAGCAACGCGTCCTTGTCAAAGCAAGGGTCCAGCAAAGGGACCCACAGAAATGGAGGGCAGCAGCAGCATTTACCAGTAAAATCCCACGAGGTATCCTATAGTTGGTCTGATGAGTCATTATCCATGACCCAGTCAGGTAAGGAATAGACTTTTTGATGACTATCTTGTATTTATAGTTGCCCAATTCACATGCACCTGTGCTAACAAACTCCTCAATTCCTACTCTTATGTATGCTGACAATACTCTGTTAATAGCTTGTTCCTCGGTCGGATTGCATTGCCTATTGAAAGTGTTTGGAGATTATTGTAGCAATGAGGGCTTAACCATTAACTACGATAAGTCTAAAATAGTAGTTTTTGCAAAGAACCCCCGATTCACCTCCTATGATTGGCAACTAAATTGCAACAAACAGCCACAATTATCTAGGTATAAAATTTCAATCTAACTTGACCCTGAGTAACCATTTAGGCCTTATGAAAGAAAAGGCCTTAAGATCGTCTAAAGGACTTCAGCACTTTCCCCCCTCCAGAGATAGACAACATATTCCCTCTGCTATTATTCTTTTTGAAGCAGAAATAGTAACCCAGCTTCTTTATGGTGTTCCTTTGTGGGCCAATTTAGTAGACGAGCATCTTGATGCTATTCTGCATAGATTTCTAAGAAAGTTGTTAAATGCCCCTCATTGCGTGACACGGATTGCAATGAGAGCTGAGCTGGGGATTCGCTCTCTGGAGGCAAAAGCTTGGGCCTTAATCTTTAGTTACCGATTAAAATTTGTTTTGGCCCTTCCCGAGGGTCGCCTTTTAAGTTTGCTATTAAGGGGACTCATAAGTTAATCCCTGGTTTGGGTATGTAGATGCCAGACTTCAGAGGTGCTGGCACTGGAAAATACTTTTTTCCCAGCTATGTCCTTTTCTACAGCTTGCTCTCTGGTGAAAAGAAGATTGTTCCAGTGGGACCTAAAGAGCACTGTTCTGCATGCCTGCCGTGTGTGCTCTCCTGCTTTTTTGGGTTTATGTATTTAAATTCTTGCTGTCTGTATACGGATTTTTTAACCATCCCAGCTTTTAGTAGAGCCTTATTTTTAGCCAGATTCAGTGTACTACCCACTGCCATTTTGAGTGGGCGCTATTCTAAAAAGCCCTACTCCAAGTGTTTGTGTGGATGTGGAACTGGTTCTGTCGAAACTATGGAGCATGTCTTATTCTTTTGTCAAAGATATAAACAAAGATGAACACAGCTGATTGATTTGCTAGTTCCTGATATAGACATACCTGTATCAAGGAGGCCTGTAGCAAGTAAGCTCCACATTTTTGCTCAGTGGTTGTGATCCAGCTATTACTGTTCCAATAGAGAAATTAATTTTGGATTTGTTTGAATATAAGAGATGTGAGGAGAATCTAAAGAATTAATGTATGATCAGATAAATTATAGAAAATAAAATAATTAACCACAAGCAAAAGTCAGGACCCTGCTCCAAGGATGGTCATACAAAGCAGGGAGGAACAGGAGAAACTGACAAGAGATGGACATAAGTAAAGGCTGTACTTAGATTTTGCTGTGATTGAGGCTGAGGAATAGAAGCTTTCACTGGTAGGTTCATGGAAAAAGTGGGTTTCAGTAAGAGGTGGCACTGTGAAATGTTCTAGGGTCAGTGGCACCCAGTCTTATTTTGCAACTCGTAAGGCAGTTACTTTCTCTAAAACGATCAAATTTTCCTTATCAGAAACCACCTCTGATCAGAGTGACATCGAAAGCCGAATCCGGGCTCTGAAGGATGAGTTACACAAGAGAAAATCTGTGGTCTACCAGCTGAAGAAGGAGCAGAAGAAGAGACACAAGGAGAGGCTGAAAGCCCAGGAGGCCAGCTTGATCAAACAGTTAGAGGTAAGAAGTATTCAGAACAGCCATTAGATAGGAGCCAAATGGCTAGGAGGAATTCTGTAAGAGAAATCAGGTCAGTGATGTCATGTCTTGTTGAAATCCACATCACAATAGACTGTTAATTTGTTAGGATTAGAAAATGTTACCTATCAAGGTTTTCTGACAAATGGGTGTTAATGTGCTGGAAATACAATACTGATTTCTTCACGGGTGTCCTTTTTGTTAAAATGGATAAACTGTTCGTAGAATTATGATTCTTGTCTTTAGTTGAAAGCTGAATAAGGATGTATGCTATGCATTACATTGTTGATAATTACTAACCTTTCCTTCATTTCTCTTCTCCCAGCAGCTCCTTTTGACTCCCCAGAAACTTATGCTGGAGATTGCTGGACCCACTTGGGTCCATGTGGGTCAAACGGCTGCAGTGAGAAGGGGGGATTGTGTTAGTATATGTAGCAGGACTAAGATGCATCATTTAAAGTAGTTTGAAGTAAAAATCAAGCAATGTAGTATTTAAAAGAATGCCTTTCTCCATGGGCACTTAAGCCACCCACAGAAATATATCCAACAGACCAGAAACTTATGTCCTCTTGCATCTCCTTGTTTTCCCTGTATCAGACTTACGATGAATTCATCAAGAAGACTGAAGCAGAGCTGAGCCAGGATTTGGAGGCAGCACCGACAGCAAAACCGCAAATTAAAACTCCATCTTCTGCTACAGAGAAACCAAAGATCAAGCCACCTCCACTCCACAGGTAAACTGAATGAAGTTAAAGGGGCTGTTTCTTGGGAGCGGAGTCTGATAAGACCCCCACCTCCATGGCCACGGACCCTGTATGTGGGGTGTGTGTGTGTGATATTCTAATATAGCCTTCATGCATGAGCTTAGATTCCAAAGTTAGTAACAGAAATAAATCTACACACATTGGATTTTATGTGCACAGGACTGTTATGTTGCCTTGTATACAGCTGGTGGCATCTGAGATCAGGCAGGCATGCCGGGTGGCTAGGGAGGCAAAGCATACTCTTGTCCCCTCTCTCCACCATGCATAGGTAAATGATCAGGAGCTGTGTGATCCAATTCAGCTCTTGGTGTGTACATAAGAACATAAGAGAAGCCAATGTTGGATCAGGCCAATGGCCCATCCAGTCCAACACTCTGTCACACAGTGACCAAAAATACCAGATGCCATCAGGAGGTCCACCAGTGGGGCCAGGACACTAGAAGCCCTCCCACTGTTGCCCCCCCACCAAGAATACAGAGCATCACTTGCCCCAGACTTGCCACTGATGGACCTCTGCTCCAGATGTTTATCTAATTCCCTCTTGAAGCTGTCCATGCTTGTAGCCGCCACGACCTCCTGTGGGAGTGAATTCCATATGTCAATCACTCTTTGGGTGAAGAAGTACTTCCTTTTATCCATTCTAACCCGACTGCTCAGCAATTTCATTGAGTGCCCATGAGTTCTTGTATTGTGAGAAAAGGAGAAAAGTACTTCTTTCTCTAACTGAATGCTTGTAGCCGCCACGACCTCCTGTGGGAGTGAATTCCATATGTCAATCACTCTTTGGGTGAAGAAGTACTTCCTTTTATCCATTCTAACCCGACTGCTCAGCAATTTCATTGAGTGCCCATGAGTTCTTGTATTGTGAGAAAAGGAGAAAAGTACTTCTTTCTCTAACTGCTGCTCCATCCCATGCATAATCTTGTAAACCTCGATCATGTCACCCCTCAGCCATCATTTCTCCAAGCTAAAGAGCCCAAGCGTTTTAACCTTTCTTCATAGGGAAACTGTTCCAACCCTTTTATTTTATTTATTTATTTTATTTATTCTTGGGATTTATATCCCGCCCTACCCATACGGCCCAGGGCAGCTAACAGCAACTAGGTCCCGCAGGGCCCTGATCTCCACCGGGAGCTCGTTCCACCAGGTAGGAGCCGCCACCGAGAAAGCCCTGGCCTTGGTTAGGGCAAACTTGATGTCCCGAGGGCC